GCCGCTAGCCGATATTCACTCCTATAGATCAGATGGAAAGAAGATACAATTAAGTGCGCCAAGTAATATTATGATCGCATACACAACGAAAAGACTGTAAGTGGCTTTGAAATGACCCAAATCCGCATTCAACGCTTAACCACTCATCCCTCGCAAATGATTGCACGTTTTTACTAGTGCCGCCCAATCCAATTGCCCTAACTCACAAATCCTCTTTAAGGCTAACTCACGCATGACCTCGCTGGAGGTACGTGGACAAACCCGGCGCTACAACACATCGGAAGCTTCCCCCAAAGCTCCTGAAGTGCACTTGTATGACCACCAGCATTCTTCCAACCTATTCCCCCTTAGCTCTTTACGGAATACACCCTTCCTCCTGACTATACTCCTATTCTTTTCTACCCATACAGAACCGGGTGTGAAGTTCGTAGCGGTAAGGGTCTTCACTAAACAACGTAAGCTACACTTACCCGACGTTATCTGGACACGCAAGTGCTAGGTGTGCCTGTGCTCAATCATCATAGATATCCTTCATCTATTTCAACTACATTTTCCACCACAGAAGAGAGTTGCTGTTTCCGAGTTATTCTAAAGCATAACCACTCTTCACTCGTTTTTTGCGCATCGCTCACCCAACGCCCGTTTCGAGTACGATCTTTGTCTTTCGCAGGCGTTTCATGCCGCAGCTGACTTAAATCTTATGTTCTGATCGATTGCAGATGACTTCAATCTTCCTGAAGTTCAACAGTATCCACCCTCCTGTTTGAGGACTTATTAAAGGCCATAGATATCCGTATATGGGAACAGGGAGTCTATTTTCCTACTCAAGAATCAAGCATACTTGATCTGTAGAGGTTGCTAAGCATCGTCAGTGCCATCTTTTGACATAATTAAGAGTTCAGGCCATGCCATAGTTGTTTTTGCACTAGTGTGCGATACTGACTGAACTTTTTTTCCAAAAAATGTTTTTTTTTCTATGATTTCCGATCAGAAGATACGACAGAATTACTGAGGCATATTGATTCTCACGGTTGGTCTGGCTTCTTCCTAAACTTGTATTTCAATGTTTTTACTGATATATTGCACATAGATTTGGATTCACTCATTTCTCGTTTTGCTCGCCGTATGTAAACAATCAATTTAAAGGATGAAATCTACTTCCATTTATCATTCTACCGTAGACTGTGTGGACTATCATGTGATTTCCATCTAAAAACCGACACTTCCGTTCCGCTCTTGATCCGACATGTCTTTAAGTAGACTAAAAAATCAATTCTGTTGAAAATCTTT